CAAAATGAGCTGGCATGCCGTTATAGAGGCTGGGCCGGGATGCTGTAAAAGATGGGGAGCAGCGGATAACAGTACAATTTGTAGACAAAAGGGAATGCGCTTCTAAACTCTCAAATATGTCGCTCAGTTTCTGCTTTAAAATGCACAGAAGATGAGAGAATGGCTGGTTCTGTTTGGGTAATCTTTATAATCATTCAGACGTTAATTAAAAACCTCATTCCAAATTAACAATTATTTTCTGTACAAAGCTGACACTATACTCTGTGACTTTTGTTTTTGCTTTTTATATACCAGGATAGTTGTGACTGCAGAGGTTTTATAGTATTTTCAGTATTGTTGCATTTTCAAATCAAAACACAAAGTTTTTATATTGGGTTTTAGAGTTGATTTTTTTTTTAAGTGTCGCTATTGTCCTACAATTATTTGCAAGAAAATGTGATACTTGTCCATTCATATTTTCACAAGGAGAAAAGTTGATCAAACATGTGAGTGCAGTGTGATGAGTGTACCCGAGGAGAGGGGCACCTCGGTCAGGTCGTAGATCTCCTCAGTTGAGTCTTTGTCTTTCTTCTTCTTCTTCTCCTCTACAGGCCGGAGGAGAGACAGCTCCTCAGGGTGGCGGATATCTGCGTTAATAACAGAGAGTTAATGGACACAAGGAATTAGCTTAATCATGCAGACAAACATTCCTGACAGAATCAATGTGGGATCAGAAGGTGGTCTCTAAATATTTGAGGTTTAATACATTTGTTGATTTTTGTTTAGTCTTAAGGCGTTGACTGAACAACTTATTAATCTGTCATTCAAGCTACTCCATCCTCAGCCTTTGTTTCTTATCAATAATGTCTGAATAACTGAATTTATATTTCACGACGCCTTTGCAGATCAACAGAAAATAAACAGCTCCATACAATCTGATAAGAGGTTTAATTACAAAAATAAACAACTCTGTGTTGCGATTGTAGCACATCATATCTGATCACATTCAGCTGGAGGCACATTCTTTATCTAGAAACCTATTAGATGATCCGTATACCAAGTGCTGCTGTAATATGGTACAGCGTTCATGTGTCTCTCTTTTAAGAGTTTGGTTTCTTTTTTAATAATCACCTCAGAATCAATGTTGCTGCAGTCATATGAAATGGACATGTTCGCAATAAGATTTGTTCCCAGCTCGGCATGCACCTTTATGATACTGAGAGTTGTGATGGTAGTCTGATAAAAATATAAAAATGACTTCAAACCTCCTCCTAGTTTGTCAGCTTGTTAGCTGAGTGGTTGGCTCCTAAGCCCTGTGGCACAACCATATAGTGCTTCTGACTCCAGATCTTTGTTCATGAAAATAGTTAAAAGGGCAACGAAAAAATTAAAAAAGGAGACAAAACAAGGTGGAAGACGAAAACAACAAAACATGGCAAAAAAAATAAAGAAGATTTACTATTGAAGAACAAGAACAGAGAAACAAAGAAAATAAACTTGGAAAACAAGAAAAACAATTTCTTGCTTTTCTGATTCTGAAAGTCCCATATTACCACTAAATCTGTCCGGATCCTTTGTTTTCTGACAGTTTGTCAGGTATCTTTTCCTGATCCCTGACTTCTGTCTGTAAACTCTGAAAGCTTATTCTGTGAATCATTTGTTGATCTGCACAAGGCCAGCTATGCATCGTTTGCCTGAGGTTGGGTCCTGTTGGCCTGTTGACACTAGCTGTGACAGACAGAAAGGAGAAAGGGAAAGAGCTGGAGAAAGGAATAGAGGAAGAAGACATGAGGACTGAGACTCACTAAGCTGTCTGCAGATGCCCATCACGGTCTGGAAGACAGGGTTGGAGAAGCAGACTAGCAGCCTGAGGGTTTTTCCGTTTGGCAGGCCCAGCTTCAGGGGCTTGTGTTGGGGCATGAAGAGCAGCCGGGCGTCTGCGTGGATGCCATATTTCTCCAGAGTCCAGGCTGTCCGCAGCAGCCAGCACTGCTTCTGCTCCCACCACAGAGCATGGTCTGACCAATCCCGCTGGATCTCTACAAAGGACACACACACAACACAGATGTCACATCAGATGCAAGAATTTATAGATGTGAGGTCTGCCTGCTATTGTCTATCAGTGCTCTATGAGTACATAGCCACACTAAGTTCCTTGTAGAGGATTGTTAAACAAAACATGTGTGATGCAATTTTATTTCTTTCTACAGATACTAGTCAATTTGCTACTTTTTATTTTAACCAAGAATTTGGTGAAGGATTGATCCAATTGGTCAGTGGAAAGACTTAGGTGCCTTTAATGACACCTTACAACTACCTGGCAAGTTACACATGCATTTTTTTCAAAAGGAAGACTTGTCCATGCAATTTTTGTAACTTTTTAAGTCTCCTTTCACAGTGACTGAGACAGAGACGGTAACAAACAGAAACAGACAGATAGACACCCACGTGTCTTTTCAACCAGCTTTAGGATGACCCCTCCGACGTGGAGGTCAGAGGCAACACTGAGGGTGACAGGTGGGGCATCAGGGCCCAGGTCCTCCACTGTGACTGACAGGTCCCATGCGGCCATACTGGGAGAAATAGAGCAAAAGAGAGAGAGAGAGAGAGAGAGAGTGAGCGAGAGAAGAACTGACAGAGTAGACAGATGTCAGGAGAGGAGAAGAAAGCTGGAGTAAAAAATGAAGAGAGTTAAAAGTGATGATTAACTAACTTCGCCAAACTGATAACAGATTGTTATGGAAAGCTGCTCAACAAATGCTCTTGAAATTATCTATTAGAATGAAAAATGTAATTGTGTAGAACAAATGTGTGACAGCTCAGGCAAAGCAGTCAAGGACAAGAGGGTGAACAAGATGAATGCCTTCAGTGAGATTATTATATCAAATGTTCTTTCACAGGTCCTTAAATTAAACTCCTCATTTTACTCTCTTCATGTTTGACAAGTATAAAAATGTTCAGCTGTATCATAAAGCTTCACTAAGTGCTTCCACTATTATTATTCTAGAGAGCTATTTATGTCACAAGTAAGAAATGATGTACTCTGATCCATTAATAACTTGCTGAAATGCATGAGAAACAATCAGAAACTCTCCAACCCAAGTCAGTCACACTTCATAACATTGTGCCTCAATATGAAAAACTATTTCAGCTGAACATCACATTAGTTTTTCCTGCTTTACTTCATATCAGAAAGTGACTAACAGACATCTAATTTTATTTTATTTTTTTAAATATTAAACTACTGTTCAAGAAGTATAAAATCTGCTTTACATAATAAAAACATTCTAGATCTGTAATACAAAATCTGCTTCACATATCCAGAAATGTTCAGATGGTTATGGCACAAAGAGAAGATAGATGACCTGTCAATCATACTTCAGCCAAACAGACTGAAACCCATGGTTCAGTAACACATGATACTGAGTAACAGCTGCACACACACACTGGATGGCTAAGCTGATTCGGGCAACATGTCCAGTTTGACGAAAACTTCCTGTTTCTAGCTTAAACTATCACCAGGCGCACACTTCCGCTTTCTGATCTGCTCAGAGTAACATGTTCTATCAATGACAACTAAGCAACCAAATGAATCATTTTAGAGGCCTGAACTCTCTTTTTCGCATGTTTCTGCATGACTGACCAGCTTATTTCCTATGTAATAGTTAGTCAACCGATATGACCTCAAAATGTACCCCACATCTATATATTTAACACATAAGATTCACTCAAACACACCCAGCTCTAGATTTCACTCTGTTCTAGTTTTCCCCTCCTCTCATGCAGTCGCACAAACACCATCACACACAATATCAAGGACACTACCTTCAGCCTCCTCTGTCAAAGGGTTCAAGAAATGGGAACTCAGTGACCCCTGTATCGGTAAGATGTGCTGCAGCCTCTCCTCTCTCGGGCTGGGCAGGTTGTGGTCTGTGTTGCTCTGTCTCTTTGTGTCACTTCTGTCAAACCATGGCTGGTTCCTTTTTTTTTTTTCAGTTTCCGCCAAGCGGAAATGTAAGGGTTCAGCTCTCTCTGACTGACAGTGTGAGTGACATTAGGCAACATGTGCATGCATGTGCATGCAACAAATGTTGGCTAGTAGATATGAGATATATAAACAGACCACACACATATTGCACTCCTCCCTTTTAAACAACAAGCACAATCCAATAAAGTGATGTGATAATATGTTAGGTTTTGCTAAATCGATGATGAAAACTTTTAAGTACTGGTTGTACAGTACAAAAAACAGGACTGCATATTCTAGAGGGAAGCCTAATGTCTTGGGAATAAATCCAGATGATCTTGCTTTCATCATATAAAGTTACTGGTTAAATTTGAGGAAAAACATGTTTTCTTTTAAATAATAAGTTAATATGACTTTAACTGCTAATGATGATTAATTTAATCCATCATGGGGCTGCTAGATGTCCTTGGGACTATAAAATCATCTTGTCCTAGTCTAAGGACAACCCTAACCCCAAAACAGTAGCCTAAAGACAAATACGAAAAGTAACCTATAGCCTATTACATTTTTTTAAAGCTTTTTAAACGTACCTAAATATTTATAATCTCAGACTAATATTTAGCAAAGATTTATTTTCACACAAAAATAAATACGACAAAGTAAACAAAATAGCCCAGCTCTAATTAATGTGGTGAAATGTTGCTGTAATTTTTAGTGCACAACTTTACAATCGTCGCCCTAAAAGATGTTACGGTTGTTTCTAGTTACGTGTTTATTACACTTCAAAGACAACGTAATGTATACGAAACTTAATTTTACAACTAGTTCTTTGTAAAATAAAGAGTTGCATTAATTATGCTGGTTTCGCCGGCTGATTGGCCGTCATCTTGTAATACTAGTATTTCCGACGGTCATGAAGGAGGCGTACGTCTTAGTAGTTGGATTCGGCTTTTCCATTTAATTAGAGTCGGGGGTTTACATGTAGTGTGATATTAAAAACAAGGTAACACTGGGTACTTCTTCGTGTCATTACCATTGCGTATGATAGCCTATTCAAAGTTAAATACCAGCACTTCACGTCACATTAATGTTGATTGACACTTCTTTAAGTTTGCAGTTTAGCAACAGTCCTAGGCCCCTCTTTTAAAGGTGGTACAGTCCACGCGCAAAAACGTCCAAAACAAAAATGGCACATGAAACCTAAATGTGTGTTTTTTTGAGATTAACTAAGTATCAAGATTAAGAAAGTATCGAAAGCGAAACTGTTTTCACTGGTTGCTCTATGTCGTAGCAGTAATACAAAATACTTGTCCGCCCCCCTCCTCGCTGTCACTCCGGCATGGCACTTCAAATGTCAACTCTGTTTACACATGTCAGAGCACCTCTGTCCAGCGGCCCTCTGAGTCGTGTCCGTGCTGACTTCCAGAGAGCCGGGGACAGGTTCAAACACATTGTATCTCCAGGAAGCCCCCAGCTGGGAGGGAAGCCAGCAACCAGTCCTGTCCGCGGCCACATTAACGCTCCGCACCGAGCTGGGAGGTTTTCTACTTCCCCGACAGAAGCAGCAGCTTGGAAGTCCAGCCAGGGGAACTGTTCCTCCTCCTCACCCGGGTGGAAGGGAGGCTGGCTGGGCAAGTTCGCCCTCGGTGCCGCCCTCGGAGTTAGCTCAGCTGCCCTGGTCCAGTTTCTCCACACCACAACCCGCACCGCCATGACCCAGAAAGTTAACCTAAACTCTGATGAAGGAGACTGGAAGGAGACTAAGGGTGAGGCATGTTCAACACGGGCCGAGATGATTTTAATTACACATTACAACAGCTTTAATTGCTCAATGTTTTGCTCATGGATGAGGGAAAACTTGTGTGCTGTCACATGAGCAGTCCAGCTGTCAGTCACTGGCTGATGTTTGTGGAACTAGAGCAGCAAGTGCTTGCGAAAATCATTATAGCCAAGCAAATATAGTCCAAAGAACACATCTTAAACAGTTATATTAAGAATTTGTTTTGTCATTTTACAACAAAGTACTATAAGCACACTCTATACACTCATGGTAAACATACTCAAAAATACCCAAAACACAATATAAGTCCAAATGGATATCATAGGGGCGTCCAAAGTGCGGCCCGAGGGCCATTTGCGGCCCTTGAGGGGATTTTTTGCGGCCCGTGACTTCAAATGAAGAATCAGAAGATTTTGATTAAGATTGGCACATTATCTTATTTTTCTTTTTCATGTTAACAAGGGCTGAACAATATTCCTAAAATAGAAAATGTTCAGTAACATGTATGTTGTTTTTTTTTTTTTAATCTACAGCTTTTACTATTTTCCACATTTTTTTTGTAAACTATGAAAAAAAACTTATGCAAAGTTTTTGTAAACAAGCGGACTGTTGTTTAACCATTTAATGACCTGAGCTAAATGCAGAAAGCTTTTCTAATAACATGAACCACGTTACAGGCTTGATTCTGAGAAAAAAACTAATAAAGTAGAACGAAGAAATCAAAATATTTGATTTCCTTTTATTAAAGGGTTTCTTTAGCGAGCCTTTTGATTCTGATCCACAAAGTCTTACTATTTTTAAAACTATATTTTAAAAAACAAAACCTGTGGCCCGCGAACGATTCTAAGACAAAAATGTTGGCCCGCAAGAAAAAAAGTTTGGACACCACTGATATAGGCCAATACAATAATGGCCTTGACGTTTTTTATTTAGATGACACACAGATTAGGACCAGTAGAAAGGGAGCACATTCAATTTGAGAAGCTGTGGTTGTTGTGTTATTGTTTTGAATTTTTTTTTTACGGCTTAACTATATGACAACAATTTTTAATCACGATAAATCAGTCGATATCGATAATTATCACAATAAATGTCAAATCATTATTTCTCTCATACCTAAAGGCTACATTTTGCTCCTGAGTGAAAGTTGAAGAATCCAGATGGTTAATTGTGGTTGAAACATTCCTTATTGTCAAAAACTTGACTAACTATGCTTGAACAAAGGAGCATTTCAGTATCATGAACACAGTGCTGAAAAACGCTGATATGACAGTTTGCTGGTGGGCAGTAACTTACTTGCCCGGTGCTTGCTGAGGGTCCACTAACACTTGTTTGGCACGTTTGGTCATTTCTTGCTTTTCGATGTGTTCTAACGGATGATATTGTTTCAAATGGTGGGAAAATATTTGTGTTGTGGTGTAATTTTAGGATTTTAAATCTATCAAACATTTGTTATTTGAGTAGAGAAAAATTATACCGCGACAATTAATTATATTGCAATACTTATCATTATCGTTTTAGCGCCCAGACCTAGTAAGCATTAAATCAGTCTAGAAAGTTATTGACTTAATTAGTATTTTTCTATCTCAAAAAATAAATCTGTCACTTAATAATCTGGATTTTTTTTTTTTTTTTTACAAAACTTCCACCAAGAGTTATATCTGTGTAATCTAGGAACTTTGGTTTATTATGTTTGTAGGCCTACTGCAAGGACTCTTTGACCTATTCCTCATGAAGATTTTCTTCTGGCATGTCAGAATTGGCATGTTTCTCTTTTCCATAAAGTAAATGGAAAAATAAAGTCAAATCCAGTTCTAACGTACTGTTGTTCTTCCATTCTTTCTCTCAGAGTTCTTGCTGTCTCTACCTGTGAAGGACAGACGTCAGTACTACAGGACTTCTAGCTCTGTGCCACTCGAAGACATCCCAGTGTGGGCTCCTACTGCAGGTCAGACACCCAGCATCAGTCAAACTCAAAGTCTCTGTCAAGCTCATCTGGTGCTGAGACTTTCTGAGAGGGACAGAGAGACAGCCGTTCTACTCCTTCTTCTATCAGATATTTGGCCATATTGCATCTGATATCATAAACAAAAAAATAGGATAGTTATAATTTGTTTTGCAATAAACAAAGATATGGAAGCCGCTTTTTTTTTTAAGTGTCATATGAGCTTCTTGTGCATAAAAATGAGCAAAATTAAAACAGAATGCAAAAGATGATTATCTCTGAATATGTTTTTACCCCAGTAACAAATATCAGAAGCATTATATTTTTTGAACATTTTTCTAAGCTTTACTGTCCCCTCATTTTCACCCGTAGACATGCCCTGCCATCAGTATGTGACAGCAAACAACAAACATATTTCCTTCTTTTTGCATTTTCAAAAGTTATGGGGAATGGATATAGTGAAAATAGTTTGACTTTCTCTATTGGAATGAGTAATAAAGACAGTGTACTCTGAACTTATTCCTGCTGTCACCACTAAAAAGTATCACAGCTGAACCAAAATATCTTCTGAAAGAAAGGAACATTATTGATGAAATTAAGTCAATTTTTTCTTTTATCAATTAAAGTTAAGTGTGCAGGTACCTCTCCTTCAAACAGGAACAAAGAAAGTTTGTTTCTTAGTCAACTCTATCAAATGGACATTAAATGTATTCAGATTTATGTTCACAGTAGACTAGGGTCTAAAAACACAATCTTTTTTCCCAAAGACCATAATGGGACATAACAGCAGTTTCATGTAGTTATCATATAGTTTGTTTTAGTGTTCAAAACTTCTTCCATAACAGGTATAAGTAAATATTGTTAGTTTGGTAAATTTGTCTGTATTAGCTAACCTTAACAATGCTGTGTGTGTGTGTGTGTGCGTGTGTGTGTGTGTGCGTGTGTGTGCGTGCGTGCGTGCGTGCGTGCGCGCGTCTCATCATTATCAGGTGGTAGTGTGGAACTGTTGTACGAGAGGAATGCAATGTTGGACCAGAAGATTTCCCTCTACAGCGGTGACATCACCATGCTGGAGATAGATGCTATTGTCAATGCAGGTATGTGTGTGTGTGTGTTTGTGTGTATTGTTTTTATTTTATATATTTAGAAAAACAGACGCATACTTAAGAACAATAAAATAAATATAGGCAAACAGGGAAACCTGAGAAAGGATTATGGATGAATACACTGTGGGTTAAAGCAGAGTCTGTTTGTGCATCCATCTGAAGGAAGTGTACAGAAATGTAGCACAAAAAGATGAAGCTGTGAGGATGGTTTTATGCTGTGATAATGGGAATGAGGCTTTCTCAGAGTGTGGGTGGGATAGCAACAGGCTTGAATATAGTTACCTACATGTTTGTACACACAGCAAACAACAATAGAAGAACAACAAAGGGGTTTAAATAAGGAGGAATGCTGTGTAAACTTCAAGCGAAAGAAAAAAAGCGACCTGAAAGCCAAGCTAGCTTTTATGTGAAGTCTCAACTACACAGATTATAAACAGAGTCCTTTGAAATTAAATGATGTAAATGAACCATAGTTACAGTGATTTGACTTTTTAAAGGCATCTTACTTTTAATATGTAGTCTGGTAAGAGTTGGTGATATGTGATGACAGAAATGTGACAGAAAAGTAAAAAAGCATACAATCGCTTATGACTGTTTTAACTGTTAAGGCACTTCACGTTAGCGTAAAGGGTTGTGTTTTGTTTAGTGAATGGACCCAGCACAGCACGCACATTTTGTCCTGCAGATGTAGCGAGCATAAGTAAATATAAAAAAAAAAAAGTCTGATAAACATCCTTCACAACATCTGACATTTCTAAAAGTTCCTTTTGACAAAGTCAAAAAAGTGGGTTCTTACCGAAAACCTTTTTGCCACGATAAAAGATGGTATTTAAACGATGTTAAGAACGTTCATTTGTTCACAGTTCAACAATAATGCAATTACAGATTGTTACAAGGAAACATAATTGATACTGCTTTGTAATTATCCAAGGGTTAAACACACACATCAATATAATATGAACCAGTGTAATGTGTCATGTTAAGCATCATTGCTATAACAAGATAACAAGAAAAGTGTGTTTTCAAATGAACTACAATTAGTTAATATTGTCGTAATATAAGATGTGTAATGTATTAATGAAACCTACTATTTGTAATCAGTCATATTATCTTTATAAAAAGTGTTTTCTTATTACAGACTGGTTTAATATTCAGAAAAGGATTTGAGTTTTCTCAGTTACCATTAGGTGGAGCCCAAAGCCCGATCATGTACTGAAGACCTTTTTCCCACGAGGCTGTTTGGGCATTGGGAGGAAATTGAATCGGAGTCTTGGCACAGACGGGTTTTCAGGGGGGAGAGAGGCAGGCCAGCGTGCCTAAATGATGCTTGATGATGAGGCTTTAGCAGAAAATGATAGATGCTCATTGGCAGCTGACTGTCAGCAGGTGTACCGTGCCAGCATCCAGTGAATGTGTTGATCATTGACTCTCATTTAGAACATTACTGCCTGTGTGTGTGTGTGTGTGTGTGTGTGTGTGTGTGTGTGTGTGTGCTGGCAATCATTCATGCATGCATCTGCCTACAAATGTTTAGGTAATTATATATGTGTTTAGAAAGTGATTGTAATATGTGTCACTGCGTGTCTGTAGAAGCGACTTTGCGTATTTTAATTGGAGCTTTTTACAGAGTCGCACCATGCAAAGTAGCATGGAGTTAACAAGAGGAAACAGCTAGTAAAGTGCCATTTAGCAGAGAGGACGAGGCAAGGTGAGGGAGGGGAAGCTGAAAAACCCAACAGCGCCAGAGGAAACATGACTGAGAGACGGAGTGTGAGAGCAAGTCAGCAGGCTGACCGACAAAGAGGGAGGGTAGAGTCTGGAGGAGGGAGAAAAAAAAAAAGAGAGGTAAAAGAGAGGCAGGGAGGGGACACAAGCTTGTATTGAAGCCTCAGACTGCATTGCCATGGCAACAAGCAGGTACGGGGTATCCACAGAGGGTTTTTTTTTTTTTTGGGGCTGCAAAGTCTCCTCATCCTTCTCTGTGTGACTGATGGGCTGGCCTGCCGCTTGTCTCTGTGGTCATTTTGTCGAGTAAGCAGCTGACCTTTCCAGCCGATGACTAACTGACTGACTAAGAGGCTGTGAGTGATGTCAGCCGCACTTGATGTGAAGTTTAAACAAAAGAGCAGACATCCAGGGACAATTACAAAAGAGACAGTTGGTAATGCTCATTTAGAAGATTGCTGGCACAATGATTCTCCTGTTACAGAAGAGGAAATAATCAGCAGTGCCTGTGGTTTGTGACATGTGGAAGGGAGTGCTGTGTCTTTTCTCTGGCTGCTCTGACGGCCTTGAAGAATCATTTAGCCCCTAAAGCAGCAAAACATTCAATTGAAGCCAACTGTGGCCAATTATACGCTGCACTGGCAGACTGGTAGGCAGGTTAGGAGGGGGGCTTCCAGGCCTGGCTGGTGGTTTGTAATTGACTGCAGGCGTACAAAAAACACTCATGGATGTTTGCATAATGAGACGAGCACACGTTCATATTTACAGATAAAAAACACTGGAGAGCTGAGGATGAACAGGTAGAAAGTAAGTCATTTCTTCCTCCTTTCCTCCGTCAGCTCTGATCGATCAGGTAAGCAGGGCGTTACAGGGGAGGCTGGCCGGCCGGCCTCTGTTTGTCGTTCGTGTCGCTCTCAATAAAGATTGGATTTACAGTAACTCTCTACTCCTCCTCCTTCTCCTCCTCTTCTCCTCCCCTCGCCCTCCTTCCATCCACACTTTTACAGCCCCTGGCTCCTGCCCACTCCTATAAAACACTACAAACATAAAAACCCACAAGCACTTAAGAGCTGTCCTGGTGAGGAGGAGGAGGGATGGGGTTTTTGGGTGGGTGGGTGTGGTGGGGGAGGAGACGGCGGGCAGAAACATCCTCCTCTTTACACCCCTCAATCACTCCATCCGGAGCTGGAGAGAGAGATGGAGGGGAGGATATATTGTCTCTGATGGGCTAGCTGATTAAGATGGATTGCACAATGAAATGGCGTCGGAGTGATGAGTTTTAGGGGTGTGTATGTGTGCAAGAGGGCGTGTGTGTGAATAGGACATCTCGGCAACTAACTTTGCATTAAAACCTTTTTTCAAATTGATTAAATGCAAATTTGCTTAGCTCTACTGAGCTGCATTTTCCCCCACAAAAGTTCTATCCCTCATTTCCATTCCAGCACTTTAATTCAGCTCAAAGTGTTGATCCTGTTTGACATGAAATGACATTCATTTCAGCCTACCTTTCTCTAGGTTAAAGAATTTAGGTTTGATGAAAAAGGTTTAGGATTTTTGATTCACCGGGTTTTTGTATAATGTCCGTTTTTTACAGTGGACTATGCTCAATGTGGGAGAGTTGATGCAGCGGCAGATTCAGCTGATAAATCTTTCAGGCTAGGCTATAAAACACTGTCCCTAAAATTAAGGCAGCCAAGTGATAAAGAATATTCTGCTCCTTTTCAAGTCTTTAGAGCTGAACCACTTGTCCTTGTCAAAATTTCTGCTTGCTGAGAGTCTGTAGGAGTGTGTGTGTGCAACCTTTGCCCTCGTGTTTTTAATTATATTACAGACATGTATGTCTCGTGCACACCTGTGTACAGCTGCACCTGCTTGTGCTACAAATAGGTGCAAAAAGCTGGCTGTGTGGTTGTGTTTGCAGCCAGGCTAGTGTGATCAGTGTACCTTTGCATGTGTTTCATGTGCAGGTGTTCTATTGTGTGTGTGTGTGTATGAGATAGGGTCTCCCAGGTTTTCCTCTGCAGGTCAGAGATAAAGCTGTTGGTCGGTGTTGGAAACCACTCACTGTGGCAACAGCTGAGAGATACAAGATTAAAGCCAATAGTTTTCTGAGCCTGCAGGTGACAGACAGGATGAAAGAGCGAGAGTGACTGTGGACTGTACTGTCACTCCTTTACAGATTAGAAAACTTAGAAAAGAAGCCCAGATGGACGGATGAAAGGATGGATAGCAGTGTTGGCGTACGCTGACAGACAGGTCTGGGAAAAAGTCACAGTTAGGTGAAGGGCGGCGACACTTCATGTCTCACCTTCCACAAAACGCGTCCTTGTTTTACTGTCGGTGTGCATTACTTTGACTCAGGTTCTTAAAAAGGAACCTGGTTAGTACAAGCTTTTCTTCAGAACTGTGAAAAGTCAAACTAGTCGTTCATGACTCTTGGCAGGTTTGCAAAATCTGTACCACTCACTGAATTAAGTAGAGATGCTTGTCAAAGCCTCAACTTAACAGGAATAATAGTAAAAGACTGGATGTGGGGTCGATACAGAGGTTAGGAACAGAGGCAGCTCAAACTCAATTGACTCAAATGACACAATTAAGCTGTGCAGATTAGTCATGGCTAGTTCAAAACAAAGAAAAACACCTCTAGTGTATTCAAAAATACACACCGATCTGAAGATAAAATGTGAAGTGTTAAAAAATGAGAGCCCTTTTGCAACATTTGCTTCCAAATGAAGGCTCTGTGACATTTTTTTCTCCTGAAGTCTAATTAGAATAATTCTTCTGACGTGATTGAAGCTGCTGTTTATTTCAGGTGAGGCAGTGCATCGACTTTATTAAAACTCTGTAAAGAATCTGACACCGTATTGGCCTGAATATGTGACAGGGATTTTCTGTGAAACACCTGAAAAAAAGTGGGACAGTCTTGCCTTTTATATGCCAATATATTTTTAAACAATAGACAAAGCATTTTATCTCCATAGCGACTGTGCAGCTAATGACTGACGCTAGCTGTCACTCACAGCTGCAGTGTCAGGGGGTGACACGGTGATCAACTGGAACAAAGTGGCTCAAAAGTAGGTCAAGTTAACCAAAAACTGAGGTGGAGTTATGACGTCAATTTAAAGATAATGGTTGTCAATGCAGCATTTATCAGTATGAAATCGCCACCTGAGACTGAGAAACTAGTGGACGATGTTAAACGGCTCTTTGCCTGCACTCACATGCAGGTGTCTGAAATCAGAAGGAGAGAGAGAGAGAGTGACGTC